TTGATTTTACTATACTCAAACTCGCGCCTGGTAACCACTGATGTCAACATTCTCTGAGACCATACCAGGTCAGCACAACTGCGACCCTGCTTGTATGCCGCCTGCCAAGGTCCAGTGTACATATCAACGTGGTAATTGATTCTGTTCAAGGCTACGAGGGATAGGACTTTTCTAGTTCCATTTAGCAATGTGAGGGGCCGGATAGACTTTATCGGACCTCGGGGTTTTCCTGGCTTCTGAAGGGGTGTCAGGATACCTTCTCCAATAGCTGGGATGTATGTGTTGGTCTCAAAGGAGAGATTATAGATCCTAGCCAACTCACAGTGGAGGGGATATCCAGCAGCTTTCATTAGCTCATTAGGTATACCGTCAGGGCCACACGCTCTACCGGATTTCAGCTTCATAACAGCACGGCCAACTTCTTCAGGTGTTATGGGACAGAGGAGGCTTCCAGGAGGGTCTATGAATGCTGGGAGGTGGGGTTCATCTTTGTCATTGAACTCATTATTAAAGTATTCTTTAAAGGATGAGGGGACCTTAGAATTTACTTCCAAATATTCGCGTTTAAGTCCTGTGAAAGTGTGTAGAATCAAAAAATACGCCGGACTGTGAAATCGATAATTCGTGCAATATCACGCCGCGCTCCTATTGGCTGATAGCAATTTTGGGCTGTGACGTCACTTATGTGTTAAGACCAACGTGCGCGCGCACCCTTTGCTCGTGTCAACATTTTGTTCTGTTCTGTTTTAATTGCGTCGTGTTACCTTTGGCGTTTGCGAGAGCGGTATCTTTGGTTGCACTGAATTAGTCTAAGTTACGAATAATTCTCTTTAATAATAATAGTTAAATGTAACTCAGAAAGGCTTTCTTGTAGTTGTAGTAGGTATTTCTAATTCTATTTATAAATAGCTAAGATAAGTAGCATCCGCTAACTAAACCACAAACTGCTATTTTGTTTTGACTTGTTTGAAACCCGATATGGACACAATTAAAAAGAATGTATGATGTAGTAGAAGACATTTTACTAGCTGGCCCTTGGCGCCTCTAGTCCTATCTGAGTACGCACGTGCGGTTTGACACTGCGCGTGTACCGGCCTTTAGTTGTACACTCATTTATAATTTACCGTTTTAGTTTGCTGTGACTTGAGTGTAAAGCGTAACGAATGTGGATGTGTTCGTCTGCTATGCTTGGTATAATATTGCTTGGTGTAATAGTTGAAAATCTTGCTTACGTTATAAGTAGTGTCACATAGTGAGTTAGAACTTAAAAGCTTGGTGCTTGTCCAACTGGAATGAAGACATGCATTTCATACCTACCCGATCCATTTTTATTAGGACCGTGTTGTGTTGATATGACATGTTGATATATCAACTGTGGTACGAAACAGGGAGTTGCTAGGTGTTACGTTGGGAGCTATAAATATACATAATTTACATGCCTTTCTGTGTGACTTCAATCTTATTCCAGGTGTATCTCGGCTCATGGTTATCGTAGGGTGATAATTCTTTTTTCAACCGGTCATAAAAAGTCTCTTCTCCATTGGTTATAGGCTCGTTAGTATCGTAAATCGTTAACTTATTCTTAATTATTAATTTAGTCGGCCCGCACGCTCATTTTACCTGTATTTCTATATGCGCGGATCAGAGCAACTCACATAATTGACGTCACAGGTTCAAATTGTTCTGGCTGGATATCTCGGCGCGCGAATGAAATACAACTTTGCGGATTTCACTAAAGTGGTTTATACGATTAATGTAATAAAAGGATTTGCACGAGAAAAAAACTTTTTCTTAGGTCCCCTCATCCTTTAATAGCTTCTGCTTTTAATGAGTCAGAACCTAAGGTGTTCCCGTCTGCATCGTGGACAGTCACTCCGTCTTTCTTCATCCTACACTGGGCCAAAGTTCTATTCGCTTCAAACATGCTTCTGCAGCTGTCGGTGTTGTTGATGACATCTACTAGGGCGTTAGCAGTGGCCTCATTGATGGATTTCAACCTCTTTTTGATGGTACGTTTGAGATGGTTGATTCTTTTTCTGAGGTCACTCCTGTCGCTTATCCCTGTGAGACTACATTCTTGCTGAAGGGACTTTCTCTCTGCTGAAAGTTTAACGACAGTTGGATCGTCGCTGTACTGATGAGGCTTCCCCGGGGGCACTTTACCAACCACCTGGACGGCACATTTACTCAATATACCAAATATATCAGAATTTTCAGAAATAGCATTATTAGTTAAAACTCTACAATCAATATTACTTTTAAAGGAATCAAAAAATTTAGACTTAATATCAGAATCATTAAGGCGATTGACATCAAACCTTATTTTGTCAGACCTGGGCCGCTTATGTACAATGTATTCACAACCAAGTTTAAAACGTGCGACCACAGGTTTATGGTCAGATTTCACAAAATCACCGCAAAAAGAGCGGGAGTCTGTTAAACAGACTTTAAAGTTAGTACGACATAAAATATAATCAATTTGTTTAAAATAGTTCACAGTGTCTTTTGAACCCTTGGGTCTACCCTTGGGAACACATCTAGCCTTCCAGGTGGTAATATGCTTCGCTCTGTGTTGGAATGCAGTATTGCACGCAAACAGACCATTATCAACAATAAAGTCCAGTAGGAACTCACCGTTCCTGTTTCTCAGACCATTACCGAACTGACCAATATGATTATTAAGGCCAGCATCATACTCTTTCCTACTGCATCTCCCAAGACGGGCGTTAAAATCTCCAGCAACAAACAAATCGAATCGAGCTGGGATATTGATAGCAGTTTTCAGATCATTGAAATATGATTGTAACAATGGGGAGTTACCTGTGACCCTACTGATGTCATCATCGACAATCTTCTTGGTTGGTCCGTACACGTTAACAATCCTGATCATACGATGAGATCCGTTGTGTTCTGTGAGTCTTATATCAATGAAAGCCACTCTGTTACTAAGTGATCTCCATGCAACAATAGAAGGTACAAGGGCTGGGCAGATTAGAAAACCGAGACCATAATGATACCAATTGTCTGATTGGGCTAGTGTTACAAGTTTGTGACCGTCAATAATTGTTTCCTCGAAGTCTCGGCATTTTGTCTCTTGGAGACACACTACATCAAAATGATAACGTTTAGCGTCACTTACTAAATGTTCTCTCCTAAGAATGTTACTTTTAATACCATTGAGGTTCCAACTTGAAATGTTCAGAGTCGAAGACATCGGCATAAGGAGAAGTAAGGTGAGCAAAGGTAGACTTCTAGCGAGCACGTCTGTTACAACTGCCATTCTGCTAGCGGGGGGCGTCACTCCATTCCATCCTGACTGAAATATACTATATATTATTTGAAAAAACCCTTGTTAGCTAACCACTGACAAGAGTAAGACTCTTCGACCAGGAATTTACTTCGTTTACAGGAAACACTGACATAGACCTAGAAGGAGCGAGCGAGATGGCTAGTGACCGCAAACTTTGGAGGGAGATGATACGTCGAAAACGGGAGTTTATTGGTGCAGGCCACTCGAATGATTGAGGAGACCTAATCAAGTACAAGTAAGTAAGTTTAGTTGTGCTGTTTGCGATAGCGCTGGCCTGTATCGTCGACACAAGCGACACAAGCGACACAAGCGACACAAGCGACACAAGCGATAGTAGTGGTAATAGTGGTAATAGTGGGTACCGTAATGTTGCACCAGGAGGGTACGCACAAGCGAGCAACTATGTTAAAGATCAGTCAGTTTACAAAATAAACTGTAATCAAACCTATGGTGAGAACATTTTTTACGTTCAATTACCTAGGTGAACTTAACAAAACATTTATTATCAAACAGATCTTGTACTGTGCTAACGGCATTAAAAGCTGATCAGATTTATTTTTCAACCGTAAGACAGTAAAATAAATATAAATTGGCCTCTCCAGGAAACGAGGTATTGATAAAGCAAAAGAAGGAAATGTTATCACTGTGTGAAGTACAGGTGATGGTATCAGAATAAGGGTGGGCGACAATTGACCCCCCGACAATTGACCCCCCGACAATTGACCCCCCGACAATTGACCCCCCGACAATTGACCCCCCGACAATATAATTTAATACAATTGACCCTGACCCTGTCCCTGACCCTGACCCTGACCCTGACCCTGACCCTGACCCTGACCCTGACCCTGACCCTGACCCTGACCCTGACCCTGACCCTGACCCTGACCCTGACCCTGACCCTGACCCTGACCCTGACCCTGACCCTGACCCTGACCCTGACCCTGACCCTGACCCTGACCCTGACCCTGACCCTGACCCTGACCCTGACCCTGACCCTGACCCTGACCCTGACCCTGACCCTGACCCTGACCCTGACCCTGACCCTGACCCTGACCCTGACCCTGACCCTGACCCTGACCCTGACCCTGACCCTGACCCTGACCCTGACCCTGACCCTGACCCTGACCCTGACCCTGACCCTGACCCTGACCCTGACCCTGACCCTGACCCTGACCCTGACCCTAACCCTAACCCTAACCCTAACCCTAACCCTAACCCTAACCCTAACCCTAACCCTGACCGTGACCCTGACCCTGACCCTGACCCTAACCCTAACCCTAACCCTAACCCTTACCCTTACCCTGACCCAGGACCCTACCCTAACCCTGACCCAGGATCCTGACCCTAACCCGATCAATTGACCCCAGTGTAATTACATGGGGGGTCAATTGTCGGGGGGTCAATTGTCGTACTAAACCCTAGATTTCGCGACAATTGACCCCAGTGTAATTACATAGGGGTCAATTGTCGTCGGGGGGTCAATTGTCGGGGGGTCAATTGTCGGGGGGTCAATTGTCGGGGGGTCAATTGTCGCGGTACCCAGAATAACACTCTCAGTTCTCACTTCCCCTACGTAAATATAGCACTCAATAGTACAGCAAACCAATCGTCTAACTACCAGGACAGGTTCAACGCCTCTAGAGCAGTAGATGGGAAGAGGACAGGTGCTCTGAATAAAGGCAGCTGTAGTATGACCAAGTCTCAGACTATGAACACGTGGACGCTGTGGCTACCAGGGGGTAGACTGGGAGTGATGTACGGGGTCAAGAGTGTGGTGATATTCAACAGGAAGGATTGTTGTGGGGGCGGTTGCACGGAGCGGAATGGCTGGAGGATGAGTTATGTGGTCGGATAGCTCATGTGGAAGGTAAAATACTCTACAACATACCGTGTAACTCTACAGGGGGTTGGATTACCGTCAGACAGGAGAAAAGAGCTCTGACACTGTGTGAGGTTGAGGTGTATGTGCAGGAACAGGACTCCACTCCAGAACCTCTGATAAACGTGGCCCCAGCAGGACGAGCTTACCAAACATCCACAAGTTTAGGGGGTGAGGCTAGCAGAGCTATAGACGGGTTAACCTTCACCCACTGGAAGGGAGACTCGTGTACACTGACACAGCCTGGTAACAAGACCCAGTGGAGAGTGGATCTGGAGGGATGGGAGGTGGGGGTGAAGTACCCGGTGGAGAGAGTGGTGATGTACAACAGAGCTGATAGTAAACAGGAGAGGATCAACAACACTGCAGTGTGGGTCGGAGACTTCCTGTGTGGGACGATAACTTACAAGGAGGGAGAGAACATGTACTTTGTAGAGTGTGGAGGGAGGAGAGGGAGCACAGTCTCACTAACTCTGGACCAGGGTATCTTGAGTGTGTGTGAAGTTCAGGTTGTGATGAAGTCCAGGAACATTCCTCGCATTCCTACCTACACTAACGTGGCACTGGGACGAGAAGCTAGCCAGGGACACAACAGTGCAAAGAACGCAGGGAGAGCTGTGGACGGTAACACAAGTGGGAAGATTCGGAGTAACTCCTGCACATGGTCGGAGACCAGTAACTCGGGTGACGGCACTTGGTGGAGAGTGAAGCTTGATCAGGGAACTGTTGTTAGGTCTGTAGTTATCGTCAATAGAATGGATGCTTTCTCTCAGCGCATTAATGGCGTTCAGGTAATGTTCCCAGTAAAATAAAATGACTTAATTCATCGCTGAACAAAAATTTGACTCAAAATATTATTATTGAAATGATCACAAGAATTATTTGCAAATGTAGCTCAGATCTAAACAAATGTACACATATTGTTCCGAGGTAGATGTTTATCCTTTACAGGTCTGGGTAGGAGATGTGGAGAGGTCTGGGTAGGAGATGTGGAGAGGTCTGGGTAGGAGATGTGGAGAGGTCTGGGTAGGAGATGTGGAGAGGTCTGGGTAGGAGATGCGGAGAGGTCTGGGTAGGAGATGTGGAGAGGTCTGGGTAGGAGATGTGGAGTACGATGAAATGAGGAAGATGTACAGAGTACTGTGTGACGGTAAAGAAGGAAGAGAGGTGACAGTGAAGAAGGAGGGTGAAGGAGTCCTCACTTTGTGTGAGGTAATGGTGTTGGAGGTACAGGAGGAGGGGACTGAGGTTATGGATGAAGAGGACTAGAGGGATCTATTGTTATTGTATTGAACAGGAGATATTGTAATATTCAGATTTGTTTTGAATATACTTGTTTTCTGATTGGCTGGTTTTGTGTTACGTGGTTGGATTTTTTTCTGATTAACTGTCGGTATAAATCTGTTGTATGTCACCTTTTTTGAGGTCGTATTTGCGCAATATTTCTATTATCAATGATTATGCCAAGTCATCGTACTTGGTTGCAATTTGCATGTGAACGATTTTTTTCTCCAGGAATTATTGAAAAAAAAGTCGCCCTTTACTCCTTTAGTTTGAAAAATCTCACCATGGAGTAATGTAACCGGTACCTAAAATAATAAACAATAGTTTCCCTAAAATTATATAAACAATCTTTCTAGAATCTATATTTTACGACAGTTGTCATCACTCATTAGATCTCGGAGACCCTTCCGAGTGTACTCCTTTTTCAATGGGGCTGGGGTAACACTGTTTCCCACGTTCCCCCTTAAACCCAGAGTTTTATCCTCAGAGATCATTGGGGTCGTATCACAGCTAGATGCTTTTTCTCCTATCTTATCACCGACACTCAGAATTTTGGACAACCTTCTTGTAAAACCACCCAGTTTACTCACGTCTTGGACCTCATTTTTCTTTCTCGCCTTGTTTTTTCGGTTTTTTGATAATTCCAATCGTGAAGCAGTAGGAGCTGTGTCGGTGGATTTCCTGTAGGCGCCTGATCTGAAGCTGATGCCAGATAAACGTTTATTTTCAACTTTATGTTCTGGATCCAGATCAATATCCATTAAGTCCATGTCCGTGATAGATGAGTCTGAAGAATCACTGCCGGACGATAGACAAACATCGTCTGAGAAAGAATAAGAAATGAGGAGGTAAGAATGCAGTTATTACATGCTGTTATTCAGATGATGCTATTGCTGTCAAATGCAGAGGGATCTCTCTGAGTTTGAGCCCGACTTGAAACCCAAAAAACTGCATTCAAACACTTCGAACATGGATTAAAATGCGTTCATTCAATTTTAGGAGAATGTTTGGTACAATTTAACAATTTTTGTAACAATGACGAAACTAAGTTGTAAAATTTGAATACAATTTACAAATCAACATCCACATTTATATTATAGTATTATAGAGGTATTTTACTCAACAACATCTATTTGAAGCTGATGTATAGTAGTTACTGAATTCATCTAAAAAATATGCCAACAGGTTTTTTTCATTGAAACTCTATTACATAGTCTAAAGAAGTCCTCTATGGGTTGAGATTGTCAAAATTTACTTTGGTCGATCACTTTTGGGACGAAATTAACCCTATGGGCTGCAAGTAAAGATGTGGTTTTCGCGGAAAATTACGATCTAGCCCCATCCTAACGAACCACCTTCCACCATTTGGGGATATTTTCTTGTAGGAACAACACCAGGCAAGGCTCCAAGCACTTTGATTTTTACGTGGTACCATTATAGACCATGCTAAAGCCGATAGTTTCACCTAGCCTCGATCTTTCACACGATAAAATTTTACCCCTCAGGTGGTTTTGAGCTGAAATATCTTCTTACTGGTTTAAGCTACGCTGATGGGTGTTGAACCCTAGTCTTAAGCATAAAATTCCCTACTTCTTGACGTATGGACACCAGTCAGACCGAAAAACTTCTTCCCATCGATAGCAAAATATAGCGTTTAGTCAAAATTATACATATTTTCGAATTTGCTCACGAATTCCCATTTTTGGGTGTTATATCTAATCCTAGGGGCTTTGACACCTTTCAGACAACAAACATTTAGTCATGTGACTGCCCTGGAAATACAACCGAGAGTACAGCAAAAACGGATCACCAGGGATCTCGGTAGGGTGCCGGTTATGTGGCTCACCAGCAGTTCCTACTGGGTCATTTTCGTAAGTGCTATAATACAGGATGGCCTTTTTGTCTCCGTAGCTCTGGCTACCGACCTCTGCTGCTAAAATCGCTTTAGAATGTGATAGATAGGAAGTTTAGGCATTATCTCTGCTAAAAGTTTTTTGGTATGGAAGCTTTAACTACCTGTGAGGCGACTTCTGTGAACAGTGCTTTACTGTAAAATGTTTATAGGACCCTCCCCTAGTTGGAGACCATTATCGGGGACAAAGATCAACCAATTTGATCAAATGGGGACGGAAACTGTTCGAGTATCGTCCAGAGTAACTGGTGGTTGTGGTAAAATATCAAAATTTTGTTTAGGTGGAAGCTGAGGGCTAAAAAACATGTAGTCTCATTTTTTATTCATCACCCGTTATGGTTACAGTATATGTATGTAACCATAGTAACCATAGTAACCATACTAGCAGCTAGTGATACCTATACTGTAACCACAGTAACCATACTAGCAGCTAGTGATACCTATACTGTAACAATAGTAACCATACTAGCAGCTAGTGATACCTATAAGTATACACTATACTGTAACCACAGTAACCATACTAGCAGCTAGTTATACCTATACTGTAACCACAGTAACCATACTAGCAGCTAGTGATACCTATACTGTAACCATAGTAACCATACTAGCAGCTAGTGATACCTATAAGTATACTGTAACCACAGTAACCATACTAGCAGCTAGTGATACCTATACTGTAACCACAGTAACCATACTAGCAGCTAGTGATACCTATACTGTAACAATAGTAACCATACTAGCAGCTAGTGATACCTATACTGTAACCACAGTAACCATACTAGCAGCTAGTGATACCTATACTGTAACCATAGTAACCATACTAGCAGCTAGTGATACCTATACTGTAACCACAGTAACCATACTAGCAGCTAGTGATACCTATACTGTAACCACAGTAACCATACTAGCAGCTAGTGATACCTATACTGTAACCACAGTAACCATACTAAAAGCTAGTAATACCTGTACTGTAACCACAGTAACCACAATATCCATAATAACCATAATAACCATACTAGCAGCTAGTGATACCTATACTGTAACCATAGTAACCATACTAGCAGCTAGTAATACCTATACTGTAACCACAGTAACCATACTAGCAGCTAGTGATACCTATACTGTAACCATAGTAACCATACTAGCAGCTAGTAATACCTATACTGTAACCACAGTAACCATACTAGCAGCTAGTAATACCTATACTGTAACCATAGTAACCATACTAGCAGCTAGTGATACCTATACTGTAACCATAGTAACCATACTAGCAGCTAGTAATACCTATACTGTAACCACAGTAACCATACTAGCAGCTAGTGATACCTATACTGTAACCATAGTAACCATACTAGCAGCTAGTAATACCTATACTGTAACCACAGTAACCATACTAGCAGCTAGTAATACCTATACTGTAACCATAGTAACCATACTAGCAGCTAGTGATACCTATACTGTAACCATAGTAACCATACTAGCAGCTAGTAATACCTATACTGTAACCACAGTAACCATACTAGCAGCTAGTGATACCTATACTGTAACCATAGTGACCATACTAGCAGCTAGTGATACCTATACTGTAACCATAGTAACCATACTAGCAGCTAGTGATACCTATACTGTAACCATAGTAACCATACTAGCAGCTAGTGATACCTATACTGTAACCATACTAGCAGCTAGCTATGTTACCATAGTAACCATACTAGCAGCTAGCTATGTTACCATAGTAACCATACTAGCAGCTAGTTATGTTACCATAGTAACCATACTATAAGGAGGTAGCAATGTAACCATGCTTTAACCTTTTAACCATACTAGCAGCTAGTAATACCTATACTCTTATACTGCAATAACCATAGTATCCACACTACTTCTTTTCATGCTGCGACTATGACATGGCCCCATGGTTGCTGTAATGCTGTATACAGGGCATATGGTGGCCATGTAGTGACCGTATGGTGGCCATGTAGTGACCGTATGGTGGCCATGTAGTGACCGTATGGTGGCCATGTAGTGACCGTATGGTGGCCATGTAGTGACCGTATAATAGTGGCCATGTAGTGACCGTATGATGTCCATGTAGTGAACGTATGGTGGCCATGTAGTGACCGTATGGTGGCCATGTAGTGACCGTTTGGTGGTCATGTAGTGACCGTATGATGGCCATGTGGTGACCGTATGGTGGCCATGTAGTGACCGTATGGTGGCCATGTAGTGACCGTATGGTGGCCATGTAGTGACTGTATGATGGACATGTGGTGACCGTATGATGGCCATGTGGTGACCGTATCATGGCCATGTGATGACCGTATGATGGCCATGTGGTGACCGTATGATGGCCATGTAGTGACCGTATGGTAGTTTAAATCATATTGCAAATGATGCCCGTTAAGATCAGGCCGCATCAGGGACAAAAGGAAATCGCGGCATGTACTGGATCGCAATTTTTCCCATTCTTTGCGACAAATTTTATGTGTCGTCTGTTTGGCTTGTCGCAGTATCGCGATTTTTGGGCAAAATAATCGTGATTTTCTTTTGTCCCTGGGCTGCATCGTGCCTGAACGGAAATACACATGACTTGGTATAAATATATTTTCGTAAAGGATTGTAAACTTCATGACCGTATCCAAATTTAAAACGTTTAATCTACAAGATTGGGCCCCGAGACTCCCGAAGTCTCTCATAAGTGTACGTATAAAAATTAAGCAGTCAATAAACATTACTACTATTTTATATATAAAAATTGCAACGAATCAACTGGTCGGCAAGGTTAATGATT